TAATAATAATAATAATAATAATAATAATAATAATGATAATAATAATAATAATAATAATAATAACAACAACATATGCAAACAATCTAGTACTTTAATGTATTAGTTACTAATGAATATATATTTTTAAATCAAATCATGCGATAAAAATTTGCTTGCATTCCAAGCAAGTTAAATACATCATCGGATTAATCTATCATTTTGACGCGTTGCACTTGATTCAAGCATCCACTTAATTTAATTCGTTATTTTTACATTACAACTAACATTTACAAATATTATTATAAATTTTATTACTAATAAAATATAACTTTTATTACGAGCCTTAATTAAATAAACAAGAAATGAAAAGAAAAGGAAAAATCCCACTAAGAATGAAACGGAATTCTCACGATATTTTATGGTAGAATGAAGTTTTAATGAGAATGCAATACTTACGTAGAATTGAGGATGTCGCGCATCCGGGCTGGCTTGATCCACCGTTCACATAGAAATCCGCATGGCCATTTGGGCCCCACTGTCCGAGGATTCCCGCACCCGTGTGGATCACATCCACAAAATGCGCATCCGTTTCGTCCAGGTCTCTCGACCGATTTCCGTTCATATAAAAAAATATCGTTGGATCGAGCCCTGGCGTTTTCAACAGCATAAGAAACCATTCCACATGATTCTTATTAATTCATATTATGTTAATAGTATCTATTAGTAGTATTATTGACTTTGTAATATTAATTCTTAATACAAATGTGTATGATTAAAACAGCTCATGTTTTCTAACCCATAGAAATACTTTGACCAATAAAGCCATAATATTGATACACATAATTTCTGTATAAACAATTTAGTTACCCCCGTTATCAATCGTTTAATTTTTGAATTAAGAGCAAAAATTTATATTTAAATTCAGCTTATTGAAAAACTTATAAAAACTAAAATATTAAATCATTTATAAATTGAGAGCTTCTTCAATCATATATGTTCTAATAACAAGAATATAAAAATTGTATCATAAAAAAAAATGGTTAATGAAGAATTTGTTACAATAGTATATATTTTTATACTTAAAATTTATAGTTTATGGAATTCCTAATTGTATAAGAGAAGTTTAATTGAATAATCTTGGAATATTTAAGCATATAAAGGTAATATATTAGCGAAATGTTAAAAGAACGCTTACTTCCAATGTAAGAAAACTAACGATCAGATCTCAACTATTAAGGTTATTGATAAAGATAGAATGCTTAGTATAATTACCCGTAATTCTTCCTAATTTGTCATCGGGTAGATAATTGGCAATAAGCCCTGCAATGTGAGCACCTACGCTGTACCCCAACACATGGACCCGCTCGACGCGAGTACCTCGCGGATGATCCCTCAAGTATCTTACCAACTGAGCGATACATCGTGAACAGAAATCTGGTCCCCATTGTATCTGCGAGAGACAAGGCTCGCGAACCAAAGAACCGTAATCGACGATTATTATGTTATAATTGCCCCGCGTGAAATACGCTGAAATAAATATACGCAAAAATGCACCTATGCAACCGTATGTCACCTAGCATTACTTCTCAGATTTTCTAGTTATTTTCACTACACAGTAGTCACAGTTTAAAAAAGGATCTCACTCATATTTTGTCTAGTTCTATAAACTCGTATAGGTCTATTGCGAAAATTTTTGGAAATAGTGTATTGATGTTTAATCGATCCATAAATTGAGTATGAAATTTATACTACAAATTAGTATAAACGTTAATTGTATATTTACATACATAACGATTATATACGATTGTATATAAATTGCAAACCATATCAATGTATATTTCTCGCTGAATTGTAACTATTTATTGAATTTCATCATTGCAAAAGATTTTTATAAATAAATACTTGCTCAATAGCCGTGAATATATGTAACTGAATGGAAAGGAAATCAGTTTTTCTGCAAAATAGAATTATTCGTTACAAATATCTTTTAATACGTTAATACCTTTACGAAGATCGGTACTCGGTGCCAAATTTCTTCCCCCACCGAAGCCGTGAATGATGATTTTTGTCGGATGGCTTCGATTAAATCGCGACTTGAATAAGGATTCCTTTCGCGTGACATCCAGTAGAAGTGGATTTTGCTGGGTATCTCTAAAAATACCGCTTATAAAAAAGATGGCTCAGTCAAATAATTTAAAAATATACACATCAGTGCATCAGGCATATCTTTATAAACAACGAATAAATACAAAAAAAAAGTCATGAAACCCGTCATGGAAACGAGTTTCAAAATGCCCTTCAAGGATTCAATTAAAAAAACACGTCTAACATGCATTCCGAACATACGTATCATTAGCATAATATTGCAATTGTGTTGTGAAGCATCCTTCAATGTACAAAAACTATTCCGTGCAGGTTATTACAAAATTGCGCAAGACTGAAATAGGTCACTTGTAGTACATAATGCAGGCAGATTTATAAAAAATCGTTTGATCTAATTTAACGTACCGGAAATTTAACAAAAAGCACAAATTTAGATTACAAGATCAATAACAAATCACAGTTACAGATGCAAACATGACACACAATACAGTTTGGTGACTTTACTTAAATACATAATAACGTGATCCTAACGGTTATCTAATTTTATAAAATATATCTTATGATTATTAATATATAAATGCGCGAGCGCGTGTGCGCATGTGTGTATAAACGAGTGAATGTCAATAGAAAATGTCAAATGAAGAATTAGTATGTATTATGAAGAATACAAATAATAAACCGGTACATATCGATGATGCAAAAGCCCATTAATTATGGCGCCATTGAATTGTGGCAGAAATACATTTTTATGAGTAGGAAACTTATCGCACGACAATTATGTGCCTCCTCGCATTCTACAACGTACCGGAGAAAGGTGGCGAGACCAGCTGCGCTGTATTGGGGTCACTTTCAGTTGAGAGTGTATAAAAATGATCATGATCTTGAAAGCGAGAGTCTTTGATATGCCTGTACCGCTCTTACGGATGTACGATGAATGTGGAAATGTTTTTAGGAATTACGATTATATATATATATATATATATATATATATATATATATATATATATATATATATACGATTGAGCATCTAATGTGATGAATTTTTTATTTACCGTATTGGTAATATGGGCTAAACTAAGTACGATCATACTCAAAAGTTAAAACGAAAGTCTGACAATGGAAAATGTAATACAGATCATAAATTTATTTATTAATAATTTTTGTTAACAAATTAAATAAAATGGCGTATAAAAACAATTTTTTAGAATACCATAATTAGTCAATAAATAATGAAAGATGGTTCACATTTTTATTAAACTACAAGAATGACGGTTATGATCAGTGATAATTAAAAGAAAAAATATAACGATTTATCCGACGATAGTACAAAATAATTATAATATTTAATTGTAATAATATATATTAATCTATACCAATTTAACATCCACAAAAGTCATAGCATTCTATATTGAAAATGTAACTTCTTTTATTTATTAAAATCGGATAATAATTCGTTTCATTATAGTGGTTGACAATCAAAAGCTTATCCAAATATCGTAATTTTCGTATATATTGTTTGCTCATGTGCATAAAAAATAACTTTATGTATACCTCTTATTTTTAACTGCCACATAAATTTAAAATACACTTTAAAAATATTCTTAGAATACATGATTACCAACTATAAAAGAATACATTTATCGTAAAATAAAAAATCGATGAATGATTATGATCATGATTATATAAAATGTTTGTCATGTGGTCATTTTATTATATATGATCATTGTAAAATAAAGGAATATACTAACTTTTGAAGTTACTCTAATATTTATATATACATTTTATATTTTACAGATTCTTAAATAATTGATATATATATATATATATATATATATATATATATATATATATATATATTAATTATATATTCTAGATTTAAAAACACTATTAAAAATGCTTTTGAAAGAAAAAATAACTATTGAAAAAAAAAATTAAAATTACTTTATTATTTATCATGAAAGTACATATCTAACATAAATTAAACTTGACAGTCAATCATTCAACAGAAATACTTTTATAAATAATACTGTTTTAATTTTCAAAATAAATATTTTTAATTGTAATACTAATACGAGTTTAATTATCTACTTTGTTTTGCATAATAAACTATAGGAAAATAGTACATACAGTAAAATACAGTTTCATCTCTTTTAATAATTATAAATTAAATTATTGCATATAGTTTTGATATATTATTACATACATCAAAATTTTAATATCAGTATTCATTTATGTAATATTTATATTTTTCATATGAATTGACTTTCGAATTCTATATCTAAAATGATTGATGCTTTAGCAATAATTCCTAGATGGTTCATCATAAAATATTTAATTTGCTTAGGATATAATATAAAAAGACTTAAAACTTGCTAAAAAATAAAATAGTGTCGCAATTATTAAGAAACAAATTTATATTGGATATTTCGACTTATTCTTAATTAACTTCAAATGAAATGAATAAAGTAGAAATTTCTTTTATCACAAATCCTCAAGCATACATTAATTTAAATTAATAGAAATTGATTTAGGATGACCTTTATTGAACTTTATTTAATAATAAATAATATTTTAATGAAAGAAATTAATAAGATACATATGTCCTAATGCTTATTAGATGAAAATGAAAATATTCGGTGTAAATTGAATAAATCATTCATTAAATAATATTCGATATATTATTCATAAATAATTAACAAATTTTATGTTTTAGCTTTTAAGCCGAAGCATATAACCAATTTTTATTTAAATTACTATAATATTAAATAATTATGAAATAATAATATGGCCATATTAGAATAAGAAATTCTATAAATAAGCATAAAGTAATAAAGTATTTATAAAGTAACTAAATTATTCTAAATTAATCAACGATAAAAATGTTGGTTTTATGAAATCTGTAATTATAATACTGATAGTACAGCGAATATATTAATATTATTTAAATTTTAAGATTTTACTAGATTATTTGTTTGAATGCTATTATTAATATTATTATACAGTAAATAATTATTTTGATATAAATTTTCATTCAGATTTTCATAATTTATTATTTCGAATGAATGAAAATTACTGTACACAATGAACTTGAGATAAACAAAATAGTTAAAATTAAGTTTTCTATCCATTGTATATTCTATAAAATTGACATAAACTTTTATTATAATTTTTATTTAAGCCTCTTATATTTTTCTTATTACGTGTAAAATATATTATATGATTTATTCAAGAAACAGAAATTTATAATAACATAAATTCTGAAAATTAACTAGCATAAACAAGCGAATTTTATAAACAATTAATTTTTAGATTATCAGAGAATAAATACATTCTATTGACGAAATTTAATAATAAATTTTTTTAAACTTGGTAATTTCAATATACCAAAGTTATATACCTAATATAATTAATTTTACATTTTATATTCAAAATATTAAAGCTTCTTTTTAAATTTTTTAAATTTATTAACTTTACGAATTGCATTTTAATAATATTCACAATTGTGTTTGAATAGTTTTGCTTAGTAAAGACAAATTTTTAATACTCATATAGAATAACAAATAACATGTAAAATACAGAAACTCAATTCTAATTAATTGTTCAATGCTTGATATATAAAAAAATTATTATTTCACAATGAAACGGGTACTCACCTTGTATACAAATAAAACTGGATAAATGGATACGGACAGATATATGGAGGTTTAGCGCAAGATGTACTATTAAAAAGATCTTGCCAGGATTTGTTTTGGGCTGTCACATCGGCTAAAAAAAAATTAAAATATTCAGAATGTATTAATATATTGTCGATATAAAGTTCTCTAAAACAATTTAATTTCGTCGAAGGTATATCAAAATTTTAATATGCATAATATTAATTAGTTGTAATACTTCATAATTATTTTAACTATTTATGTAAATTGAAAAATATGATTAATTTACAATCTACTTTTATATACATGTTTTATCACATTATATATTCATATACGTTACTAAATAATGAAAACCAGCATTGGAAGTGAACAAATGAAAATTCAATTTAATAAATATAATAATATAATGGATAATTGATTCTTCCTCTTTAAATAAAAATTTTATTTTTCTCCTTTAGTAAAGTTGAGCATTATAATTTATAAGAATCAAGTCAATAGAATAATTACTTCCCAAGTTTAGAAAATTGTTACTTATGCAAACAAAAAATTTTGTAATTTATCGAAGATAATATATAATTTCCAGACCGGCTATTGTTTTCCTTCGAATTTTATATAAATATAGTATTAGTATAATGTTTATGAATTATACACAAAGATTTTAAATTTGGCAAATAGTTAAATTACAAAATTTTTTTAATCAATTATAAACACAATAAATTGTTTTTAATAAACAATATTGCCAATACAGTAACCTAAATTTATTGCAAGTTTAATACTGAAATTATGAGTAAAATTTATGAAAATCAGATTAAGTTTAAATTGATCATAAACAGATTTATTATAATACATAGAAAAGCTTAAAATCACAAATTTATATTTCTCTACATCTCTTATAGATACTTTATACGAAATTTTTATAGTTTAAAATATTTAAATTGATTGTAAAATGAATATCCTTATACAATAAATGTTCTATAATTTATAATTATAAATTGTGAAAATTTTTTAAATATTCTGTATAATTATGTAATTATGCCTCTTTTACTTTTAATTCTTCCTTTATAAAAATTCTTCTTTACATTTTGTTGATGAAAGCTTATTACGAAAACAATGAAGAATTTTATGTAACATATTATAAGAATCATAACTATAATATATGTAACTATAAAATCAGCTCTTTAAATACTAGTTTTTATACTTAAAAAATTAAAAATGAACGTGGAAAATGAGTTCAAGCATGCTGAAAAGTAAGTAAATCTGCAAAAAAAGTAGGTGATTTTTCGCAACTGCCATACCAGAGAAAATAAACTAGTTAGGAAATGCTTAAATTTAAATTATGAAATCTAAGCTTTTATGGTATTTTCATGAAGTAACAATTGCGAAAATACTTTAAAGAAATTCATCAGCATGCAGCCCAAAATTAAATAAATAAATTTATCTGAAGAATATTCTATTATCTTTTACTACCATTAATTGAAACCTTAAATATTCTGACATAATTTTTTTAATAATGAGTAGTGAAATATATTTATTGTTACCAAAAGTTTATACAATATCTCATGTAAAGGAGCCATTTAGTTATAAAATATTTAACATTTTAAGTACATAATTACTAATTGAATAAATTCATATTCTTTAGGAAAACCAAAAGAAAGAAACTGTTTAAAATTATTAATTCTATGAATCAACATATTTTATTTAAAAAAAAATTACTATCACCAATACTTATTAATTAGGTTAATATATAATAAATAATTCATATTTATTTAATACAAACTCATTCATTTTACAAGACTTAGTGAAACAATTCTTATACCTAAATCTGAATTTTCTCATAATTAAAACCAAGTTTGCATATTGCATTTTTATCTTTCATCAATTATTATTGCAATTCAACATTAACATTACCATACACAAAGTGTTCCCATCAATTTAAAAAGTAACAAAATATATATCTGTATTTTTATTGAAAGTAATTCAAAATAATTCCTATCTGATATATAATAATGCTAAAGTACACATGTTTATAATTACAGACATTTAAACAATTTACGTAAGGAGAAAGGTAATGCGCAAACAGTAGAAAATTAAGGGCACTCGGAAATGGATGTAGATTTGTGGATTTTACGATTGCATTAATTAAATAATCGTATACTGAATACTTGCAGATTTTCTGGAATTCATACACACGGTGACGAGGGTATACAATTATACCCAATATTACTTCATTCGATCCGGAAATATTGTTTGAGGGGTTATTATCAACAACTCGCACGCATATACGAGAACATTCCTTTCTATTAATTACACCAGAAGTCGTTGTTAATAAAAACAGGTTGTACAGGAAAACTAACTAAAACAGTATTCATTTCTTTATTTTATTTTCAATTTAATATACCTATAATTGAAATTTATGTTACGACATTATAAAGTAAAGTCAATGATGGCATGTATAACAATAGTCTCTATTGAATTAAGAATAAAGCAATAACAACTCTGTTTGCAGTGCTATACAAGATTAACAAAATTATTATAAAAATCGATTTATTTTTAATTTTTTTAATTTTCAATTTTATACTAAAATTCAGTTGAATTCTGAAAGTATCGATGTAATTAAATTATAGGAAATTTCTTAAGTTCATAATTCATTTAATTTATGTAGTGATTTGATAAGTAATTATAAAAATTTATTATGAATGCAATATTTTTTGCATAATGGTTCCATAATTCAACTTATTTAGGTAAATCGAAGCTGAATAGCGATATAAAATTGAATAAACATTTAAAATATTGGTCATATGCAATTTAAGGATTTATAGAGAAGTTTAATTGGGATGAAAATGATGATGTTTGTTCATGATTATATAGCCGGTTACATTGTTTCAAATAAGTTTCAAAGTAAATATTATTTATTAAAATTGAATGTTATATACTATTAAAATCTAGGTATAATAATAAAAATTATATAAATTATATTGATATGTATTATAATATATATAAAATAACTTTTAAATTCTTATTAGAGTTTTCTGGTAAAACTTTGGCATAAAATAAATTCTCGAATACTTTTTGATTGTATGGATTATCAATAGTACCGTAGTCGTGTTTATTATATAGCAAATCAAGTACTCATGGTGTTAAGTGATATAAGTATTTTTATAAAATAAATGTAAATTCACTATATAAAATAACATTAATTTTTATTTTTCTATTGATTCTAGTAAAAAATTTATTATGCACATTATATTATTCGTATTGTTATAACTAAATATTCTTTAAATAGGAATTATAATAAAATTATGAGATTGAATATAATAGAACTTCAACTTTCGCTATAAATATATGTTTATATATTATTGCACTAATTTGTAAATAATTAATAAATAATTCTACAATCATATTTTTATTCATATGAATAGCGTGTAATTTTTACAAAATCATATAGTCTTTATAACGTTCATTCTTGATAATATTATAAATATAATTATTTAGTTTGTCTCCCAAGAATTGTATGCACATTAAAATTTTTTCTAATAAATTAACAAAGTAATAAGGATGCTATAAACGTAAAACTGCTTTTCTTTAATAAAATATAATTATTATTAGCATAATAGTCAAAGGATAAACCGAATGAATAAATAAAAATTCTTTAAAAAAAAAGACTAACTTTATGAAAATTATTCTTAGAAATTTCTCGACTCAATATCCAATACTTTCTCTACTCTCTTACGTGTATCTTAGAAAATTCCTCGAGATATTCGTCAAATCTCTCATTACTTATTATCGAAATAAACGAACCATGAATCGATCATTCCGCATTTCCTAATTCATAACCTGATCGCTTAGAACCGCAAAATTATAGCGAAGATGTTAAGGACCCGTCCGCGAAGAAGCTGCGAGCAGCGCAATCACTGATTCGGTCAGCTTCGGATCGGCGGGATCGCGCGGGAAAATTCAAAATCGAAAGACAGCGATAAAGTCCAGGTTAGCGCTCTGAGTGGTCATAATTGCGAATAATCCCAGAACTTAACTTACCGTAGTTTCCCTGTAGCAGGAGGATGAGCAAACTGGATACCGCGACATTGATCGCCATCTCCGGCGCTCGTCGGTCTTATAATATAACATCGGACGCCCCTTGCGGCGATTCGATTTATATGTGCCCAAAGACCAAAATGACCAAAAGAGCAAAAGCTCTCTTCATCTGCCTGTACTTTATCAACAGCTCTTCTTCGTATCAACTAGGAGGACTTACACTTGTACTGCTCGCGACTCGTTGTCCGATCACTCAATGCCGAGTCATCGGCCGGCTCCACTCGAGAGCGAGGCAATTTTAGAAAGTAAAACGCTCGCCGCCACGTCTCCTCTCCGCAACTGATATCGTGCGTAAGCCACGCATTCGTGTGCGCACGTTCATGTGCCTACGGGAAAAAGCGAGGTATCGCCAAGAGTGAGAGCGCGTTACGCGCTTTTCCACGCACCCGGTGACACGCTTCATGGACGCGGGGACACGCGAATCGCAGAGCCTTTTTTTCACTTTCTTCCACTAGCGAGGGACAGATGAACGGAAGGGGAACTTTAATCGCTCTTTAGATGCTGCCGGCTTGCCTGACTCGTTTTTTTTAATCTACTCTTGGGATGGGCTATGGAACCAGACTATCTCTATTCCACTCTCCTATTCTAAAATTGATAAAAGGTATGATTTTTTGTTTTGAATTTGTTTTATCATTCTAATTGCAATGTATTTAAATGTAAGAGTATTTGCAGCTGTCAATAAGAAAAGGTATAAACCGTTCACATGCTCGCCAACAATAATAAATACTAATATATACGATGCAAGACGCACATAATTCATAAGCATAGCATTTTAGCCTATTTTAGCTTCTGAAAGCTTTACAGAGAATCTGAATAATGAATAACTTTGATTCTGTATACATCAGTTATATATTAGTTACTTCAAATTTCTCTAAATTGCATAAGATTTATGTATAAATGTTGAAATTCAATGCAGAAATCGGTATATAATGTATTTGCATCTTTTAATTTTATCTAAAAAAATTTTTAAAAGATAATGCTTTGAATTGAAACTATATGATTAAGAGGATTAGCGCATTATTATTCCGTTAAAAAACTATTTATATTAACATTACGTAATATTAAATTTAATTAATTATCAATATGATATAGAAATAAAAATAAAACGGTCGATATTTCATATAGAATATATTCATTAAAACTATGTATTATCATTTTTATTACACATCACAACACAGAACGAGTTGACAATGGGAATAAAGATTTATAATAAGATCTGATTATTTTTTTATTTTGGTTATTAATAAATTTTTCAACCTTTCTTATTGAAAAGAAACAATTTTACACTACAGGCACAACTTCACTGAAAATAATAAGGTATATATTTCGAAATATTACATTTAGATTTAACATGCCCATAAATAAGTAATTGTTAACAGTAATAAAAATTATCTTGTAGTATTAAATAATTGCAGCTTCATGGGCAAAGCGTAATACCTAAAAGTGTAATAACTTCATTCTTAAATAATGGTTGAAACATTTCTTTTCTGTATATTTGAAAGCATAATAAAAATAAATAAATATTTTTAAAATATAATCAGTTAATATCTATTTACTTTAAATTATGTGTAATTCATTGATCAAATATTTTCGGATAATTTTGTATAATTATTTCAAATCAATATAAAAATTTAATTCTATTTTCCATAATAGTAGTTACTCTAATTCTATAAAAATTCTCATCAATTATTTAACAAATCGGGTCAATAAATTAAAAATGTAATTAATAATCTGTACCACCCCAATCTTCTTAACAACTCATATTTACATAATTTATATTTACATTTACACAAATACTTTCAAAAGTTAATTTCATTCGTATCAAAATACAGGACAAAAAATATATATATTATGTATAAATTAACGAAACATTAAGTCATTCTTAATTTACATACACTATTTAATAATATAATCTGTTAGTATTTATATTTATAATAGATTATTTTATTAAATTGGGTTTAGAAACTTATATATGTAGCAATTCATTATTTAATGACTTCATTTTTAATATGTTTTTATTAATTTTATTATTATTTAATTTTATTTAAATACTAAATTTACAAACTCTCAATTGAAATGACTTCAATTTAACCAAAAACTCGATTTATATTAATGATTGTTATATTTGATATATTAATTGTAAAAATTTTAGTAATTAAATATTATTGAATACAAATTAAATGTTTCATTATTTGTTCAATTCAATAAAGCATAAGAATGTAGTCAAAATTATATATGTTTTCTTAGTAATATTCATACTTTCATTATAAATATACAGTATTTGAGGATGCACAGCATAAATAACTTAAATTTGCTTCATTTTTAGCAAAACATGTTATCATATAATAATGATTGTGTGTAATATATATAATATAAAATACCAAAATTTATGAAGAATTTGTTTAAATACAAAAAATTTTATCAAAAATGGTAAAGTTGTAGATGTTAAGAAAATTCGAATTAAAAATAATTTCATTAGTAATAAAATCAAATGTTTAATATTTGAAATATATAGTATATCGTATGTATGATATAATATGTGATACAATATAATATAGATTTAAAGCAAGTTTATTCTATAACAGTAACTTGGAGTGTCTGAAAAACTTTATATTTAACTTCTGTTTCAATGTAACGTCAACATCATAAAGACAAAAAATTTTTACATTTTAAAGAATATATATTTGCATTTGTATTTTTTCAAGACATACACTATAATCATATTACGTATATCCAGATCTGACTATCGAATTATTAGAATGTAAGTTAATATAACTCTGCAGTAATCATAATTGTGTAAAAAGTTTTCACACATGTAATTTTATTGTATATTAAATAGATATAAATATATAGCTAATCAGGACAAACCTTGTATTTCCAAGAAAAAGAGAAATAGTTTTTAAAAGTATTTTTTCAAGCAACATATATAAATTATTAAAAATAAGAATCATTTTCATCTTAAATACTTACCAATTAAAATTTCATTATTAAATAGTAATTATTTAGAATTATAGATACATGTCATAGTTATAAGAATTGCACAAATAATAAAACTATTTTAGAAATTTTTTTTTAATTTAATTCAAATCAAAAATATTTTATCATTTTTATTTTAAATATCAAACATATGTATTAGAATGTAAAATTCAAATGAATGAATAGAAATATATGATGTATCATTAATGATTATTTACATAGATATCTCTGATTTATCTTTATACTATTTATTAAAAAATAATGTTTAAATAATTTTATTAATTTCATCTTTTGGCGCTTTTATAATTCCAAATTATAATTATTTACCTACATATATGTGAAACAATTTTTCTATAATTGAATTTTTTACGTACTACAATAGACACTACCATCACATGTAATTTCTAAGTTCTTTTATTTAAAAATAATAAGAGATAATGTATAATTATTGGATAACATAAGCTAATTTTATAAATAAATAATAGAGGCTCATTAAATTTTTTATACATAGAAATTAACTGTTGTTTCACGATTATATTGATTGATAACATTAACTATTTTCAACGCTTGTTCAATTTAGAAAATTATATATGTAGATGTGCATGTATATATATATATATATATATATATATAATTATATTTAGGAAAATTGATTGGTTTATTGATTAATTTTTTTTTTTTTTCAATTGAAGCATAAATATTGAAATTTCAGAATAAATATTATTGAATGTATGACTTCGAATTTTATGTACTCGATTATACTCAATTTTATCTAATCTATACAATACCTTGTAATATATTAAAAACATCTTCGCTCATAAGATTATAATTATTCTTTTGCGAAAAATCTTCTAATAGATTAGATTGAATTGGAAAAATATTTCCGTTCTTTGAAACATGCAGCTACTGCACATTCTACAAATATCGTTATTTACAAAATCACTGCACTGTAATAAGCGATTTGCATTTAGTCTAGAGTAGTTGTATCAAAATTAAAGCAACTTTCTCACACCAACTTGACGAAATATGCTATACGTTTGAAAATTATTATTATATATTCTAGTTTTAAATATATGTTATAAACATTTGACAGATAACAAGATAGCAAAATAAAATGAACATATTTCTACTGTTTTCTATATCAATTTTTATATGTTAAAATATATATAAATAACTAATATATATAATTACGTCAATAGAAAAATTTAATATACGTTTTTATTGCAAAATTATTTTAAAAATGAGTATATTTTAAAACAAATAATAAAATTATTATGATTCTCTCCAGATTTATTTTACTCGAAACACTTTGTTTGAAAAAATTCTATGGACTAATCAAACGCACATACTAATCAGTAGAGTGTCATATTATTTTTACCTTACCACCTATATTTTCTAAATAAATGTAAAGTTTTTGAATAGACCATTCATTGAACCAATAAGAATCAGAAAATGCACTATATTTTATAAGTTTTAGGCTATTGGAATACATGTTTTACACTTCCCTTAAAAGTTATTAACTACTATGTGAATAATCATACTTATTTTTTTCAATTAGTTCCAATAAATTTCTATTTCCTTCTCTTTTCCTGTATTATATTAATATATTATTTACTATTACTATAATACACAGATTGTTTAAATTAGAAATAGTAAAATTTAAAAATAACCATATAAATGTTAATTACTATTTTTGTACATTAATTTATTCTAAATAAAAAAAATAATTTATAAATTTATATTGTATAAAATTGTATAAAATAAGATTGAACCCAACGTATGTGACTATTTATAACTATTATATTCTTGAACATTAATTTGAAGATTTGAAAGTCTAGTAGGATAGTTTTATATTTTTCAACTTGTATGTTTTTAAAAATATGAATTAAAATGAATCACATTACAGTTAAATGATTAATAATAAAAGAATGATATACTTTAATGTGTTTATACCATACTATGTATGGAATTCACGTATATACAGTTTTTATATCTTTCAGTCATTCAACCCGATTATACTAGGTA